AAAGCCTCTTTCTCAATGAATTAATGCTTTGTTTTTTTTTATTATACAAATGCAGTGAAAAAGAAGAAAACTTTGTAAGATTTTTGTTTCCTTCCATTCATTTTCTTCTGATGTTTTTTTTGGTGCATATAATTAAATAATAGTCAGCTGACTTAAAAAGAAACGTTTTTGGGACGGGTGTTATTTAATCGATTTGTATTTTTCTTGTGTGTTAGTGTGCAGGTGGCAATTTATGTATCGGTGTTTTTTTTTAGCTTTACCGGGAATTGATAGAATAAAAAAAAAATAACTCTTTTGACTTGGCAAATATTTTGGGATTCTTTGCCTTGTCTGGCGCCCGAACATTTTAATTACTTACTTAAATCCTGCAATTTAATTTTGGCGGGCCACCACCGTTACATCACGTTATCACTGTTTTTAGATCCTTTGTTTTTGCAGGCCTGGAGATTGTCCTGTAAATTACCCTTTTCCTATGTCTTTTACATTAATTTATGCAAAGCGGTCATGGGTTGACAATCCACCATTTGCGGCTTAAGTGGTTCCAGACAAAGGGGAGTTCTCTATCCTCCTGATTGGATTAAGTCATCACTGTTTTACCCCCTGACGAGATAACGTAAGGTGTTCTCTCGACGAGAAGGCGCCATTGTCGTAGTTGGTCAATTTTACGTCGTCTTGATGGTTTGGGGGGGATCGCCCGATTCTGCTTTGGAATGTGTTTGTTCGATAGCTCAGTTTGATAGTCTGTTCACAGAGGCCCCACACTGTACACCCAGTTTTCTATTAAGTCTGTTTCATAAATGAGGACCATTATGTATTCTGAGCAGTGGTCATTTAACAGCAGGGCTTTTGCTTTGATGTACTCATGTTTTATCCATTTTATTATTCTAAATTGAATCATAAGTTAAAGAAACTGCTGCCTAAAATATAGGTAGTAAACTGCCCTGATTTGGTGTTTGGTCAGTGTAAGACCCGAAATGATCTCCCCATGAAACCAAACTTCAGGAACTTGCACAGAACAGATGCCATGCAAGACAACAATAAACTTTCTAATCTGAAGAGATCTTAAAGAAAACTATTTGCCCAACTGTCCATTCACCCATCCTTAAGCCTCCTCCTTTCCCTCCTGGGCATATGGCTTAGGTCACGGAAAGCTGACTTACAGTGGTGTGAAAAGGTTTTTGCCCCCTTCCTGTTTTTTTTGTGCATATTTTTCACACTTAAAAGATTCAGATCATCAAACTAATTTTAGTATTACACAAAGATAACCAGAGTAAATACAAAATGCAGTTTTGAAATGATGATTTCATTTATTAAGAGAAAAAAGCTTCCAAACCTGCCTGGCACTACGTGAAAAAGTAATTGCCCCCTAAATCTAATAACTGGTTGTGCCACCCTTTGCAGCAACAGCTGCAATCAAGCGTTTATGATAACTGGTAATGAGTCGTTCACATAGCTGTGGAGGAATGTTGGCCCACTCTTCTTCGCAGAATTGTTTTAATTCAGCCACATTGAAGGGTTTTCGAGCATGAAAGGACTGTTTAAGGTCATGCCACAGCATCTCAATCGGATTTATGTCTGGACTTTGATTTGGCCATTCCAAAACCTTAATTTAGTTTTTCTTGAGCCATTCAGAGGTGGACTTGCTGGTGTGTTTCAGATCATTGTCCTGCTGAATAACACAAGTGCGCTTGAGGTCACAAACTGACGGCCGAACATTCTCCTTCAGGATTTTCTGATAGAGCGCAGAATACATGGTTCCATCAATTATGGAAGTCTTCCAGGTCCTGAAGGCCGGCCACTCCTGGGAAGGTTCACCACTGTTACAAGTTTTCTCCATTTGTGGATAATGTCTCTGACCGTGGTTCGCTGGAGTCCCAAAGCCTTAGAAATGGCGTTATAACCCTTTCTAGACTGATATATGTCAACTATTTTGTTTCTCGTCTGTTCTTTAGATCGCGGCATTATGTCTTGCTCTTTAAGCATGCTTCACTTTGTCAGACAGGTTCTGTTTAAGTGATTTCTTGCTTCACCAGGTCTGGCAGTAATCAGGCCTGGGTGTGGCTAGTGAAATTTAACTCAGCTTTCTAAAATAATGTGCTTAATCACAGTTCTTTCATGATTTAACAGGAGGGGCAATTAATTTTTCTCCTAGGGCCAGGTAGGTTTGGACAGCTTTTTTCCCTTAATAAATGAAATCATCATTTAAAAACTGCATTTTGTATTACTTGCATTATCTTTGTGTAATATTTAAAAAGATTCAGATCATCAAACAAATTAAGTGTGACAAATATGCAAAAAATTTAAAAAACAAAAAAACAGGAAGGGGCAAAAACCTTTTCACAGCACTGTAGAAGTGTCAAGAACTCAAGTTACTATACTTACATATTGTGGTTATTATATCTTAAGAATCTATGATTTTAACACTTTCGTGTTTGGTATCATTTTGTGTGTCTCCGTGCGATTGGTAAAATGGCCTCAATTTCACAGCAGTCCCTTATATTATGAAAACTTTTGTAGAATTATTTTCTGCTGCTAAGGGTTGTGTCTCCCTCAGGGTCTGTGAGAATTTGTATCTATCTCCGGTCAGGTGTGCCCTCGGGTCACGAGATCCTAACAAACCAAAAGGTCTTTTATGTTTTTACAACTGATTTGAATATTTCTTTGTTCTGGTCTGGATATATAAGCAAAGTGTCATTATAGTCATTTGGGATTCTAGAAACCCCCACACTGTGTGAGTCTCTGGAGCTCTGCATTAGAACTCTCATATGCTGCTGTGTGCAGGGCAGGACTTAGGGGGGCAGGGGACCCTGGGCTTGAGTTTATGTTTGGGCTCTATACCTACATCACAAATGCCATCAAATAGAACATCATTATGGAGCACCACAAAATACACAAACATATGCTTTGAGGTTCATAAATAGTGCAATTAATATGCAACATGTCTAGGCTATAGTCAAAGTTTAAATGTAATACTAAATATTCATTATAATATAATAAACAGGATGTGTTCTCTCAGTTGAGATAGCTGAAATAACTTTGAGCAAAAAAAAAAACTAAAAAAGCCAGAGATGTTGGCTTATTAGTATTATAAAAGTTATTGTCATATCTGTGTCCTCTTATATTAAAGGGATAGTTCACCCAAAAATGAAAATTCTGTCATCATTTACTCACCCTCTGTCACGATTATGTTCAGTTTAGTTCCATTTCTGTCATGTCTGTAATGAGCTCTCATTAGTTACCATGGTTTCTGATTAGTTAACCGTGTCCAGCTGTTCCTGCTTATTTCCCTCATTTACCTTGTGTGTATGTATAGTCCTGATTCTGTTCTATCCTTCGTCGGTTATTAGCTTATGTTATGTGTTGTACCAAGTCAGAATTATCAGTAAAGTCTGTTTGGAATTATGCATCTTCGTTTGTTGTCCTCATTCCTTGACGACCTGTGACACCCTCATGTCGTTCCAAACCTGTATGAGTTGCTTTCTTATGCTGAACATAAAAGAAGATATTTTGAAGATTGCTGGTAATCAAACATTTGGTGGTTGCCATTGACTTCCATAGAATTTTTTTTTTCCTAATGACAGAATTTTCATTTTTGGGTGAACTATCCCTTTAAGTTCTTATTTAATCAATAAATTCAATCAAATAAAAAGACACGCTGGCTATTAACAATCAAATGAAATCACTATCAACAAAATTCATATATGGATTGTGCCTAAATGTTAAGTTTAAATATAACATTTTAATGTAGAAATATTAAATGATTGCAAAAATGAAATAAGCTACTTTTTTAAATATGAAACTACAACCGCCAGTTGGTGGCAGCAAGTGACTGTCTTAATGAGAGAGTTGAATCAACCGATTCATTTAAAAAGCTGATTCATTTAACTTTGCAAACAACTGTACTTATAGCCTGATTGAATCATTTGCTGGTCCGTGTAACGCTGACGGAACAAAACAAAATTTCGTGTCTGAAAGTTACTCTGTAAGTTGTTGTTTATTGTACATTTGCGATCGTGCAGATATTCGAGAAAAAAAAACAGGACTCTTGTTTGTGTGATAGGCTAAGTCCTATATCATAGGCATAGCTATGTTATAAAAATATCAACTCATTAAATTGCTTATTTAAAATAATTTAGATGACATTTCTTCTCCACTATGTGTAATGGCAGTAAGACAAGAGAGAACGCTCAAAACTCATCAGATGATCGCATAATTTAGTGGAACATTAATATAGTAATATAGAATCATCCTCTGTAAAGAAATGAGGTGTAAACATTTGAGAATTTATCATTATCTTTCTAAATGTGCGCTCTTTGGGGATAAAGCCTTAATGGAGCTGTTTAAAGTAGCCATGTGATAACAAACCAATCGGTGCAGACGGGAATACGTGTGTCCTTCTTCTATGAAATAATTATAAATACCAGTTTATGCTGTTTGATGGTGGCCTCGAAGGTCATAGTTGTAAGCCCTGGCTGGCCCGTTTAGATCTTGCGTGTGCAGTGGTAATGCGGCTAATAATTTCTGAATTCTGACTGGCATATAATGAACAAATCAAACAAACTGCTGTCAGGTATGCATTTCTATTGATTTTTCAAATGTGTAATTGTGTTAAACACATTGTGCTCATAGAACACACTTTATAGTTACTGTAACATTAGAATTATTCAGCAATTTCAATTTACATGTGTGACTTTGGTGAATTAGTTTGTCTCCTACGTGGAAAACTTGGCTATTTCCCATATAGCTACAGTAATCCATGTACAGAAGCATAGAATTTCCATGTGGCTACAGTGCGATTCACAATTGCATTATCCTTTCTGAATTGGCTTTTATTTGTTTAATTATTTATTTGGCATGATACATTTTACCTGACAAATAAATTATTATATTTGATTTATTCTGATCTCTTCTGAAATCATTATCTAGTAGATTAAAGTGCAGTCTGGTGTGTCCGCAAATCTGTGTCCAGGATAGATCATTCCGAAGTACCAATGAATGGAGCATGGGGCACATCATTAGGGTCCTTCCGACTTCTGACTATCACTGAATTAGCAAGTTGCAGTTTCGTGATTATAAAAAAAACACTTTTTTTATGTGGAAGCAGGGAGCGGCCTACTTAAAGGTATTATAATCACCCTGCATCCTCTGACTAAGATCTAGCAGTTTGTGTCTGTGAGTTCACTATCGGCTGAGTGAATTTCTATGCAACACTGTGTCCTTAACCTTTTAGGTGCCAGGGTTTTTTGGAAAAAATGCTGGATTTTGACATCAAGATTTCAAAAGCTTGTGGTTTGAAAGGGTTTAAAGAGAGAGATCTACTGTAAATTAGAAACATGTTGGGCATGACCGAAAGTTTATGTGAGGTGTAAATATACTCATCTAATTTGCATATTATGACGTCATCAGGGGCGGCCATCTTGAATTTCATAATGTTCTGGAAATAGTAGATATTGAATTGATTTGCATTTTTTTTTGTAAATTAATACATAATTGATATTTGTGATCAGTTTGTAATTAGAAATACCGCCTAAATGTAATGATCACTTGAAACTGGAGTCAGATTGAACACAGAGCTAAACTAAAACTGAAACTAAATCCTGACAAATTAAGTGAACTTTGCAGAAGCACAAGTAAAATACCTACACGCATTATACCTTCGCCCACCCATTGGATTCCATCGTTGGGCCAATCTGGGTGGATCCTTACATCAGCTTGATGTTCTGTTTCTGGATCCAAGATGGCGGCTTAGAGAACGGTCGCGTTAATCAGACGGTGCGGGCTACTGCATTCAGTTATCATTATTTTCGGCGGAGGAGCTCATTTTTTTTCTGTGGTGCTTGCTGCATAGTTTGCTATGAGTTTAGACTCCTACTTTTTGAAGCAGTCGATCAACATGGCTCAAAGGAACACTAAAAACTCAAGCAAATCAGAGACAGCATAACCGTCAGGGTGAGGATAATGCTACTGTCAGCTCAGATGCTAATACCAGTGTTTCCGAACCGGGCCTACGGCAGATTATTACGGAAATCACAGAAAACATTTCGAAATTGATCGATGAAAAGTTGAGTCCATTGTCACAACTCTTGCAACAACAGAACAAAAAACTTGATGACCATGAAAAATGAATCACAGAAACTGAGAAACAAGGGTAAATTGGAGACGCTAGAGAGACGAGTTTGGGAATTAACAGATCATTTGAATGATTTGGAAAACAGAGGGAGCAGAAAGAATATACGTATTGTTGGGCTTCCCCAGAATGCAGAAGCCGATCGCCCTGTTAAGTTTTTTGAATCCTGGCTGCCGAACTCTCTGGGCATTCAAACGAAATCCGGCCGCATAAAGATCGAAAGAGCCCATTGCATTCCAGGCAGAGCTGTCAAGACAGCGTCCCCGTATCCAAGGGCAGTTCTGGTGAGATTTCATAACTACGTGGACAAGGAACGGGTCATCTTCTTATAAAACATGTCAGCTAGTATGCTTACGATTTGTTCCTGGAACGTTAATGGGATACACACACCTGTGAAGAGGAAGTCAATTCTCACATTCCTTAAAAAGGAGAATGTTGATATAGCCCTCCTACAAGAAACTCACCATCTCAAGTTGCAACAATTGGGCTTCAGTCATGTTCTTTTCTCTTCATTTACATCGAGGAGCCGAGGAGTGGCCATTTTGTTAAAAAAAATGTACCTTTCAGGTTGTCAAATTGTATCAAAGATAAAAATGGACGTTATGTAATTGTGAAGGGTATGTTGCAAGGGGAAGAAATTGCCATTATGAATGTATATTTTCCCCCTGGTCATCAATGTGATTTTCTAACAAGTGCATTTGTCAAATTGTTGGAATGCAAGGTCACTCGTTCCATTGTGGGAGGGGATTTTAATTGTCAATTGAACCCACTTATGGACAAATTTCATTTGGGTTTGGCTCCCTCATTTCAGACTAAATTCATTAACTCTTTATGTGAGGATTTGGATTTTGTGGATGTGTGGTGAGCACAGCATCCTGCTGATAAAGAATTTACTTTCTATTCTAAACAACATTGTTGGCACACAAGAATAGACTATTTCTTTGTTCCTAAGGGGCTATTACAATTTATAGATCATAGTGCCATTGGAAATATTATAATATCGGATCATGCCACTGTCTTCTTATATTTAAAGTTACAAAGCCCTTTAAATCCAACTAGGTATTGGAGATTTAACCCTTTTATTCTTCAGGATTGCAAATTTTGTTCTTTATGTCAGAAATAATTTTTTGCTATCAATTCTCCCTCTACAGAAGATAAATCTCTGCTATGGGAAACGATTAAGGCTTTTTCAAAGGGTCTTATCATTTTTTATACGTCTAGTAAGAGGCAGAGGCAAACATGATGCAGAACAGATGCAGAATTAGGCAGGCAGAGGAGGATTAGGTCCAGAATCCGAGGCCAGGTAAATTAAAAGAAATGACTGCTTTACGCTCTGCTTTAGAGTCCTTAAATGTAAGATCTGCTGAGAGGAAAGTTAAGTTTGCTAAGCAAATGCTCTATGAACATTCCTTACTAAGAAAAAAAGCATACTCTCTAATGATATCAGGGGCATCCTTCTTCTGATGTTACAATAATCAACAATACATTTGTTAACTTTTTTAAAACTCTGTACAAAGCAGAGTCCCCATGTAACTCGCTAAGCCTTATGGATGCATTTTTTTCTAAAATTGAGTTACCCTCTATAACTGAGCATCAGAAGCTTAATGGTCCTATTTCAAGGGAGGAGGTATTAACAGCAATCAGGAGTCTGCAGACTGGGAAAGGCCCTGGTCCAGATGGACTGAGTAGTGAATTTTATGCAGCTGTAACAGGGCGAACGAGACGTGAGACGTGCGGATCCATCTGCAGGATTTTATTAGACAGAGACGTGGTCATAACAGGCATGGGTCAAACAATGCCAAACAGGTATATTGAGGGCAAGACACAAGAGTAGTCCAGTAAATGGGCGTGGTCGAGCTCCGGCGAACATAATCCTGAGGGCGAGGCAAACGGGGAATCCACAAGACGAGCTAGAGTCCAGGCAAGGTGCAAACACAATCCGAAACAGCAAAGCAAAGGGTAATTCCAAAACAGGCTATAAACTTCAGGGCAGGCAGAGATCAGACAAAACGAGATAACAGGCAAGGATCAAGACACAGGTAAACAGACTAAGAACAAGGCTATACTAGATATGAGAGAGATATGCGCTAAACAATACTCGGTGTTGAATGGTGGTGCGAGACTGATTTATATAGTGTGTGTTATTGGTAGCAGCTGTGTGTGACTGGTTTCAGGTGAGCTTGTGATTAGTGCAATGGAGCATGGGAAATGTAGTCCAGGGTGATGTGTAACAGTCTGTGTAGTGTAGGAGTCCATATGGAGAACGGGTGACCTCTGGTGGTGAGTGAATGGAAGTTTAAAGACCGGATTCGTGACAGCAGCGTTGCGGGATATATGGGTTGATCCTCTTTTAGAAATATTTAATTATTCTTTAGAGAATGGTACTCTCCCTCCTTCCTTACAGGAAGCTAATATTTCTCTGTTACTTAAAAAGGGGAAACAACCAGAGGATTGTGCCTCCTATAGGCCAATATCTGTTGTGTCCGCCATTTTGTGAGCGTGCTCTAGTGTGGCCGCCATTAGACGAGTGAGTGTGGGGTCGCGTTCCTCCACAACACCCTCAGTGAACATTGAACCAACAGTCAACCAATCATAGTCCATAAACTGACTGAGAGATGAGCGGGGACCTTCACGGATTAAACGTGATTTGAGCGGCTGATGAATGCTCTCACAAAAGAAGTCTATGAGTACACAGTCCGGCAGATCAGAAAAATAAACAAAGTTCAGATACTCTTGAATATAGTCCTCGAGCGATCGTGTGCCCTGTTTGAGGGCTAATAACAGTCTTGCAATGTCCATACCTGGCCAGTGTCCACTTGAAAAGCCGCTGGATCCTTGTGTGGCCAAGTATTCTGTTACGGAGCTGATGGAACGAGAGGCATGTGGATCCATATGCAAGGCTTTATTTAGATGGAGACGTGGTCATAAAACAGGCATGGGTCAGACAATGGCAAACAGGTATATTGAGGGCAAGACACAAGAGTAGTCCAGTAAATGGGCGTGGTCGAGCTCCGGCGAACATAATCCTGAGGGCGAGGCAAACGGGGAATCCACAAGACGAGCTAGAGTCCAGGCAAGGTGCAAACACAATCCGAAACAGCAAAGCAAAGGGTAATTCCAAAACTTCAGGGCAGGCAGAGATCAGACAAAACGAGATAACAGGCAAGGATCAAGACACAGGTAAACAGACTAAGAACAAGGCTATACTAGATATGAGAGAGATATGCGCTAAACAATACTCGGTGTTGAATGGTGGTGCGAGACTGATTTATATAGTGTGTGTTATTGGTAGCAGCTGTGTGTGACTGGTTTCAGGTGAGCTTGTGATTAGTGCAATGGAGCATGGGAAATGTAGTCCAGGGTGATGTGTAACAGTCTGTGTAGTGTAGGAGTCCATATGGAGAACGGGTGACCTCTGGTGGTGAGTGAATGGAAGTTTAAAGACCGGATTCGTGACAGCAGCGTTGCGGGATATATGGGTTGATCCTCTTTTAGAAATATTTAATTATTCT